CAGCGCTACAGCAACACCAGTCACTGCGTTGTCAGAAAAAGAGCAGGAAGGAAAGGAAGACACACGCATTTGCGCACAAAAATCATCTGAGGCACCATCTTTAGGAAACCTGTTGGGTGCAGCCAACAGATAAATTCTCCTCGTGATTTTCGCAACGGCTTACCTTGGACAGTCGGGCACAAATAAGTTAGAGTAGGAACCACAAACAAGCCCTCATTTAGCTGGAAAGTAGACTGGAACATCAAGTCTCCATTTTGGAGTAGTTATACCATGTTTCCTCACATAATACGCATTTTATGTAAACATGAACTTAGTTTTTCCAGCCACCCTAACTTCCGGGGAAATTGAAGTTGCTGGTCGATATTTAGAAACAGATAATGTACATCCAATTCGGGATTTTTGTGTGCGGAAAATTTTAACAGAACAAACGGAATAAGAAACTGAAGTCTTTATTTAATAGTATGGGGTATTGGTCTGAGGACCGTCGCCAAATCAATGTAGGACGCTGTGCCATCCGGATTTATGTTGACGCCGGATTCATGATTTAGTGCTCCCCTTCCTCCACAAAGTTATCCAGTGAGTTGCAAGGACTGGTGGTTTCAATTGTCGGTCGGGATAACATTGTCAAGCAACACCTGCACTGGTTGTGGAGCGTAAAATGTCTCCGATGATCGTTGGGCTTTGGCATGCGCTTGTGTGATAGTTTCGCAATGTAGAATTTAGCAGACTCGTGGTTGGTAGGACTCTGATCCTGCAGCAGCTTTGAGGAAATAATCTATTCGCCTCCAAACTGTTGTCATTTTTCAATCATTCCTGTTCGGTTCACCATACCTTAGCAATCCTTTGAACACATTTGATCCCGTTTGTTTCTCTCCCGACGGATGAAGCGACCACGCCATCTGGATATTATAAATGTGGCCGCGAATGCATGGCAAGGATTACTTATGTCACTGATGGAGTCAACCTTGATCGCGATCGCCGAGTGATCTATAAAAAAACAACGATAATATGAGTAGTTTCATTTTGAACTAGTGATTGGCATGATCATAATGTTGGTCAAAATGAACGCATTACTGCGTGCATCTGTGGATACAGGAGACTGTGCGTCGTAAGCAGTGAGCATTATCCGGTATAGAGGTGGACACACAAAAACAGACACGGTAAGGAACAGTGCTTGGGGCCGTTTCCTTTTGAAGAACGTATCAAGACGAAGAAGGATCCAGTTGTTGACATTTAGAGGTGGCGGGCAACAACAAAACTTTGGAAGGCAAAACAGAAGAGCTGGCCCAGGGACTCTGAAAGGCGGAACAAAGTCTATGTGAGATCACAGATATCTTTGGTCCTATTGTGGATCCTTTTGAATGTAAACCACAGAGTAAGTGGAATAGATATGGCGGGACGTTTGAAGCAGACGTTGCCCAAGATCGAAGCTTAGCTGCGGCAGGAGCCTGGATTGCAAGGGTTAATGTGATAGAATTTGTCACCCGAAGTTTTGCTCGCGTCGATACATCACAAATGATTATTCATCAAAGCTTGATCGTTTTGACGCATTCCACTAACGGCATGCAAATAAATGCATTCGTCAGGGTTAATAAAGGCTTTCCAAACCTATATATGGACCATTTTCTTTTGATTCGGACTTAACGGCCATGACACCGAGACACTCCGAATGTTCACAAACCCCTGTTCATATACCCAGTGACTCTAGTTGCCCGGTCCTTTGATACCGCTAGATGCCACGTTGGCGGGCTTTTGTGGTGATTTCACGTGTTCCCGTTTGCTCTGCAAGGATCATTCTTGGGTAAAGGATAGCCGATTAACGAGAACGTTGAAAAATCGCATGCACTATCTAATAAAATTATAATACAAATGTTTATTCCTAACTTGTGGGTGGCATACCGGCAGGTAAGATAATGACGTTACAGCAAGAATAAAGGCATGACTGGTGAGGGTTGTGGGAACAGCGGGGTTGAGAAGAGAATCAGCCTCATTGGGGGCTTTATCCGATGTAGGCGTTTTCACCACCAAACCGGCACGAGCAAGAAAGCAGAGCTATTATTCGTTTTTGAAGAGGAAATATCGGGCAAGCTGAGATCTTCCGGATTTGAATGTGGCTGGCAAAAACCAAAGCGACGGAGGGTGATACAAGAGGCTTCCTGCCTGACACATGACAAGAGGGGTGTAAGCGGTGGAAATTGGGGACCAAAACATCGGATCACGTGAAGCAGCAAGTTGGCGTCAATCAGCCAGTCATATTGAACTGAAGCCTAAGGCCACCATTAGGGCCTCGTGGCCTTGGAATGTTGGGTTCATAGCCAGGGTCCCAAAAAGCGCAAGTGTGGTTGTAGAAGTGGATGGATTAGCAGAGCGGTCAAGTGGTAACAAAAATCTTAGAAACACGCTGTACCGTGGAACAGTAGAGACTAACTGGTGTCGCTGTTGCGGAGTTCCTTGGAAGAGTGAGATTACGGTAACACACGACACGAAACACGAACTGTATAGAAGGTTATCAAATACTGCAGGAAGCTCGGAAAAACAGCGGTGATCCAATTCGAACGAAAATTTCAGCAGTTTGGAATGAACATGTCCTGGAAGCAGCTTGGTTCAGGTTAGGAGCTTATTCGTGTTTACAGTCAATGGAAGGAGTGGGTGAAGAGGAGGGGCATAGTTGCGCGTACGCTATCAACTGCGTGTGGCAGTGCCGTGCCATCACTGGCATGGCATACTTCAATTTTAGGACATGTAATGAAGCACTATTTGTAGTCAATTGGCTGTTGATTTGTTCGCCGAGCTTGGCTTGAAAATGTTTCGTAAACAAACGAGGGTACATCACCAGTGCGCAGTTGGGCGGGTACTTCTTCATTGGCTCCAGGCGTTTATGTAGCCTTTAAACACTATCTGGCGCTTGCTTACGTGAGTGGCTACTTGTGTGTACCAACGTTTGTCCGTTCGTAACCTTTATTGCGTTGTGGTCTGCGTTCCTTTGATCTGGTTGGTTGTCCTCTGGTATTGATTGGCACTGTGTTTTGGCTGTCTTTCCCGGACTTGATTGGTTGCTTGTGCTGTCCTATCTTTTCCACTGTAAAGGTAATTGTCCATGCGTCCGCCGGTCAGTTTGGTGCTTCGGTTGTGTGCCTACTCGAATCTATTTGATGTGTCCGTTTGGAGGGGACCTACGTGCTTATCACGGGCTCCTCGTTTGGTTAATTTTGCAGTTCAAAGCTGCAAGGCTGCTGTGGTTCTAACGTGTGTGTTAACAGCTTTTACAGTGGGGTGACAAGATACAATTAATTCGGGTGCTCACTTGGTTGTTGCTGGAGGCGTTATGCAGAAGGTGCTCCACTCAAACTCGTATCCTTCCTGATATTTTTGTACGGAGATGAGAAAAACTGATCGTGTTTTTCATCGCCTTTCAGGTATCCTGGTGGAGAGCTACCTTCCGGTTTGGCCTACGTACCGGTTGTCGGTCCAGTCATTGGATCCTATATATGACGTTGTTTTCACACCGGACATACCCTCTCTTTCGATTTTGACAGTGCCCTGCGATAAGTGTTGTTGGGCTCATAAGCGACTGCCGTATTATGCTGCCGTAGAGCCTTGCCGACATTTCTTACGACATCATTTACGTCAAGAAAATCTGATATGGAAAAACAGTCAAAACGTAATCAAAACTAGGTGGCAAACAAATGCAATAAAATAAATTTATTGCTGACCCAACTTTTGGCACAAAAATAATGTAAAAGTAGCAGTATAAATGCTTTGCTTCGCAAGGAAAACGGAAAATACTTAGATGATTGCCAAGCTGAAATAGAGCGCAGCTATATCAGAATAAAGAGGGCGGTTCATTTGAGCCGCTAATTAGGAAGGCAGTCATTCGCGCAGCGTTCTAGATGCACACACGTGAATGTCTCTAGAACCGTGATCCGAAAGAGGAAAACTTTAACATAAAGTGTTGGCATTTGATGGTACTCATTCGGGCGCCTAAGATCTCCCCACGGGGTACAGTTATTTTGGACATTGTTTAAACAAACTCTGAGTCCACTGTGACCGTTGAATTCGTATTTCAGTGGTTGCTGAAGGCTTTGTCCATCGCTTCTATGAAAACGGTGGGAAATTTTCTGAAAAACCTGTTTTTATAGCGTGCTTTTTTACGAACACCTTGGATGAACCGTTTATAGTTGTCACTGAAGTTAGGATATTCTTGTGTCTATCGAGAGTTGGTAGTGGCTAATTATCGCAGTTCAAACGAGGTAATAAAACAGCCACATCTAAATTGGAGATTCAAAATATGAAAGGTGTCCGAAAGGTTTGCTAGAAAGCACTATGATGTGAGTGAAAATGCTTCCCCAAATAACAGACGCTCATAAGTTATCACTACTTCCAAGTATTTCAATGAGGTAACGCTGCCCGTTTTCAAGAATGGTAATCGATATGTAAATCCAAGTAATACGTTTTGGTCGATGAAAACTGATGGGGGTATACGTGAGAATGAGGCAAGTGCACCGGCCAGAATGTGCTTGGAATGTAGCTTGGAACTTGCAGAGATATGAGATCAGTGATATCTGGTAGTTTGGTGAGCTGACCTCAGAATGGAGCTGCTATAGCCCAAAGAAAAGCGTGGAGCTTCGTAAAACCAGTTGCCTCTGATGCATTACATCACGTGTTTTTGGTGAGCTTCGTAGCATCATTTCCTCATCCGTCAATGGATATTTTGAATTATAAGGCAGTTGCCTGGGACGTAAACCACAACCAACAAGCTCAGACAGGAGTCAGCTTTTCCCTTCATTACAGAAGGCGGATTTTGGTGTTCATCATGCGTACGAAGTACATTTAGGGAAGGGGGCATGCAGTTGAGCCCAAAGTTGTCAACCATTCTTCTGCATCGCCTCGAATAGGTGGGGCAGCCATGTTACGGAAATATGTAGGGAACTCCAACAGCTTCCATAAACAAAGCGATATCCATCAAAAACGCCGTCACTCCATCCATCCCTAATTTCGCAATGAACGAGATATTGAGACGAAAGATGAATTATCCTTTGGACCTGGTTTTCAGATATCGTCTGGAAAAATTCGGTCGATTCTTGTATGCAAACTTCATTCGAAGGGGAGGAAAAGACGCAGGTGATTTTGGATGAACTGACGGAAATAGTTCTATCCACTGGTGTCCACTTTGTACCCATAAAATATCGCGTTACTATAATGATGTTTATTCCCAATAGGGGGGGCGTACCCTCAAACATGTTCATAAGTTCAGTCAGAATAAAGAGTGAATTTTTTATACTTGGAAGTAATGGAGCAAGTGGGCGGTAGGGTAAGAGAAGGGTCAAGAGAAAGAATGGCATAGTTGCGGGTATGCTATCAAACTGGGTGTAGCAGTGCCATGCCATCAGTGCAGCGAAATGCTCCGTTTTCTGAAGAACCTTGCAACAGACGTCCTTTTTGAAATTGTATGGCTTGGATGTGCAATTCTGTTTGGACGAGGATATTTTTGGTTGGTCGAGAAAATCCTCAGAGTTAGATCAAAGCTTATATAAGATCGCCGGTAATTTTCTGATCAAGTTGAAGGGGTAGTGTGGTGCAGCGTTTTATATACATTCGAGGTTGTATCAGTTTTAATTGTAGTGTAGCAGATTAGGTCAATGCACGAAACTGAAGGGCTCGAATCGCGTTTGCTGTTTCGGAGCACCCATGGCGTCATGGAGGCAACTCATGAACACCAAGTAACGTGTGTTTCAGCCTGCAGTACGGAATGTGTTGTTGTATGGCTGTGAGACCTAGCCTGTTTGAGAAGCGTAACCAAGGCGTCTTTGGCTGTATGAAAACGGTTGTCTGAAAACCATAGCTCGCGTGGTTCTGTGCCGGCAATGCGATGTTTTGGTTATACACCGGGGATTTCCACTGAAGAAGCTTTCCTTGCGATCTCCAACTACATCATTGCCAGTACCAAGGATATCTGGATCACATCAGGTTTGCCTATCTTATTGGCTCATTCATTCGAATATTGTCGACATGATTTCGGAAGTGAAGATGGGTTGCAACACTTCGACGTGAACGAAGAGTCGGAATAAGCCAAGAAGTGTGCTCCATGTTGGTTCGGATGCTAATGTAGTTGAGTACGTGATGGTTTCGTATTTCGATGACAAAGACCAAGCTGTCAACTTTAATAAGCTACCTTGTATCGGTGTCCGACAGCAGAAGTCGAGTGACTTGGTTCGAACTCGACATCTGCACAGCCGACCTACAAAGAACACGGCAAACTTAAATTCACGACTGCAACAGTCCAAGCCTTAAATAGTTAGTTCACTTCTAGTCATAACTCAGGCCCGTTGACTCTGTTGTGAGGAGATCACTTTAGATCATTCCAGTAGTTGCAGTTTTTCCGGAGTTTTGCGGTCAGTTTTATTTTTAAGGATACGTCTTTTGTGCATCCCATAAATTTCGCCGGCAGGGGTTGAGAGACAGATAGTGGAGGATGTATACCCGATGTGCCTAGTGAACACGATAGTTTGTATGCAGAATGTAGTGATTGGAACCGATTGGTGTAACACTCACAACGAAGAATGAATACGGCCAGGTAGGTCAGGGAGTTGCAACGTGACTCGTCTACTGGTCATTAATACCCAACTATGACACTACTGTTAATAGGATGGCACAATAGGCATTCGGTATGCCTTTTAAATACAGGGCTGATCCTATAGCCTCTTGGGTTTTTCATGTAAACACCTGGTGCTGAGCACCTTCTTTGATTGTGTCCGCAGGCAGCTGAGATTTGACACTTTTGGAGATGTTTAGATGCAAACAATGTCATAACATGGATTTGGACGAGATCGTCGGCTGTTCGAATGACGCCAAAACAGCAGTCGCGAATTTATTAGAAAACTACTGGTTAATTCGGATTCTCGTGGGGGATCACGGGGTGCAAGCCACCTGAGGCTGAAGCTTCTATCAAATTAGCGGTCCAATTATGTCAAACAATGTTCATTCCTTGTTTTGCCGTGTATTTTCCTGGGATCACTGGTCTCCATTTCCGTTTGCTCGTTCAAATCTGACGTCGAAGATTGCTCTTCAGAAATCCCAGACCCTAGGCAGGTTAACCCTACGATAGAAGAGCCATTGGCACAATACAACCCCGGGAGACCGCAGATTCATTTTCGGCAAAATGTGAAATAACTTACCGAGTACTAGGTGACATTGGCGGCTTCTGAATCCGATAAAATGCGTTTTTGCAAGTAATTGGACAAGCTGAGTTTCCCGCTGTAAACCTGCCTACTGTGTTATGGCAGCGGTAGTCCTTTGACAATAACTTTATGTGACAGTTAAGATTCATCAATGTAATGTAGGTGGGCTTTCCTGTAAACTTGAGTGATGATTTGTAGATCCAATTACCTATTTATGACTACTTGGCTTTTAAAGAGAAAGCCAAACCAACCCTGAAAGTGTTGCACATAATGTTACAATTTCTCTTTCTTGTTTGCCAACGAAAATGCTCAGTGATTAATGATTACACAACTATTTCGGTTGGGTTTTATGCTTGTTTTGTGGACACAGTCTGCTTAATACATTCCTGTTTCCGTGAATCCCGGTCTGGCTGACCGATTGATAGACTGCTGCGCTTGGCCAAACCAGGAAAAGTCAAAATGAACGTACAAACTGGTCGATCTGCTGATCACTGTCTCGCACAAGCGAGTCGAAAAGGTGAGACTGAGTATACATCTCATCTGTCAAGGGCGAGTGATGAACAACCAATGAAATCTGTCTCAACGAAAACGGTCATTTTGTTGGCTGTTATGTAGTCCTGTTGCGCTTGAAACTAATTCTCCTAATAGCATGCATTTTTCAAGAACTTCATTAGCATGACTTAGGATCCCATCCGGAAGCTGATATTGGATGTAATAGAGCAGCACGTTTCTCATGGAATGTTTCTGGAAACGGGAAAATTTTCGCTACGCATTTCGGTGGTGGTGGCGACGGACATAATGACAAAGACCGCAGAATATAGCAAAATGTTGCTTCAACCCAACCAGGTTTGTGCGACCCATAGAAACTCTGAAAATTCAATGAGTTTGAGCATGCGAAGTAAAAATTCAGTGCAAAGGATCAGACTGTCGTCCATTTGGGTAGCAGAACATGTGTTGTCCCGAAATTCATTTCCATATGGATATTCTGGTCGTAATATACGGCTAAAAAATATTTTCTATGAAATAATTTTGCCAAAATGGTTTTACTCGCACGTTCACATTCATTAAACGCAGGTAATTCCAGCAAAACCGTATGCAAGTCAGAGATTTATCACAATTTTACTGGAGAGGACAAAATATGTTATGGGATAGGTGACCTTGATAAACAACCTTCTGAAAACAAAATGATCTATCAACTTATCGAAGTCGGCCAAATCCAATAACAGGGTACTCGAAACCTACAGGGATTGCAGCTGTGCATGAATTAGCCTAGCACATTAAAGAGTTGCAGTTGTGGCGGGATCGAGATTCCTCTCTGAGTAACGAATACTGCGCGGGCGCGGCAAATTCTCAATATCTGACACATCATGCGTCATTTTGATTACTTTCCGACAATTCAGTAAGCACCGAATAACATAAATATTCTCCGGGGTAGTATGGTGTTCTACACGGGCATACATTCGATAGAAACATATGCACGCGTTGGATTCCCAAAAAAGGAGACACTGCATACCAGGCGTTCTGTAACCAAACGGAACTCTGATGCAGTAAACCTGTTGAAACCTAGCGCACACTCACTGTGCTCATGTTTAGTTAGGAAGGTAGTAAAATCTTTGATTACCTATAAGGGTGTAGTATGAGTTTCATCGAAAAAAGCAAACAGTTTTCAGATTTGAGGAACGACAACATTGATAGTCCCTCAAGGGACGACTGAAGGTTGCGCGGGTTGGCGTTTCAAAGAGCGCTGCGCTGAACGAATCGAAATCTCCGACAGTTTGCAAGTGCATGTTGCACACGACACAAGTAGCATATGTCATCATTGGTTGTACAATCAGTCCTTGTGGTGTGCCACATAATATGTATGGACCATTGTTATCCGTCACCTACACAGGGGACTTGCTTTCAGAAGTAAATTGGACCGTCGTGTACACCGGTGATGGAAAGTTTGTTAGCTTGTTATCGTTGTATTTTGAGTTTCTTCGTCGACCAGCTGCACAGTAGGAATGCCCATAGGCAGCTTACTACTACCTTTCCCTGTAAAGGCGTTTACAAACATGTTTGGCCCTCTTTATGTCATGTAACGCAGGATATCAGACAGCTGTACTCTGAAATTTTCATCTAGGCTCAATTAAATGGCTGCGGATTTGATGGCGTCGCAATACGCAACCAATCACATCCCGTCAGTGGACAAGTTCAAGCCCACGGAATAGGTTGAGTGAAATATAAGCGGAACCGAGTCATTTTCCTATTTCGTGGGTTCCTTTAAAGAAAGTCTCGTATACGCTGAGCAATCGGATTAGCTCTGAGACATAGGAGAAGACCTGATGTTTTTGGACCTCCAGTCACATAGCCGGGATAATATTTTAATGTCAATGTCGTCAGGAGTTCCTCCTGGTCTACAAATACACAAAGGTCCCGCGTACGAATTTCGGATGGCAGTTTTGATAGCACGTTTTCATTGGGGATGGAAGATGTCGATATTCTGATAACGAAGGGATAATCTTCAATGACGACCAATTGATTTGGCCGAACTCGGTTAATATGCGTCGGTAGCAAACAGGGCGACTAGAGCTGGACTCACAATTGCCCCAAGCTGCGGCTCCCTGTATCCCAAGCTTTTGCGTACATCTGAGCTCATTTGAAAATATTTTGTTTATATTTTACATTCATCATATTTTAGCAGTAATCATGCCCCGCCTCAAAATCCCTGGTTTTCCTTCCTCTGGATATGTGCAAGTTGCAGAGTCACTAAATCGCAAAATGCTTCTTCATTGCACAACCAATGTGAAGAAAGCAGATGATTCCGGAACAAACAGAGTGGGTCCTACTCAAGCGTGCACTACGATGTCACCTCGATTGGTTATGAAACGTTTGCAATCCAACTGCCAAGCTCGGCGAACTGGCCACCAACCAAACAGAGCACCCGAGCTACCTACATTCCACAACATTGCTAGATCGGACTTGGTTCGGACAAGTCCTATTGGGTGTATATTCGCCCAGCCATTATTTTGCAGGTAACTATATCGCACAAATAAAGGAATAAGGTTGCCGTGCATCACAAACTAAGGATATGCTGATTGAATACATTTTAGAATCACCAGTGTATGTATAACAATTCAAAAATTATCACGTAAACGGAACATGGACGCATCTGTGTTTCTTATGGTAATACGCTTGACATCAGCACTCCACATACTGATGTAACGGAGGTTGGGGTTTTCCTGTTGATTCCGCACTGCGTCTTTTCAAAAGTGAGATATATTGCGCAATTTGTGGGGTCAATTTGTCGCTTTTGCTTGGATTTTTGCAACAGCCAGTGGACATCTAGGAAAGTTCAGGAAGACGTGTTCAAACAGAAGATGGATGTTCAGTTTCGTCAAAATGATGTATATTAGAATTTTGCTTCCGTGTCCAATAGTCTGTAACTGGTCATTTGGCGTTTTCGAATAAATACTCCACAGCGAATGCCTTCTTCCTTTCACTGGTAGCATATTGAGATGCAAGACGACCCATTCACTAAAGCGCAAATAAAGCAGGATGATTCCTTGCATTCTTCACAACGGCATGGTTTGTCCGAAAGGGCTTATTTTCGCAGAGAGTATCAAGTTGCCTAAATGCGTGTATAATAGCTAAAACCACGTCACGGTCTATGTTGTGCGCCCTATTTCCGGTCAGATGCTATTAGGTTTACACTGATGAACATCTTGAGGCGTACGTCACTTGAGCTGAGGGCTTATAAAATCGATTGCGTTGGTTCGCAGATTCTATCTGTGGGCAACCATTTAATGACAGGTAAATGGGAGGCTCGAATAAGAAACAGGCCATCCACTGCGGCGTGATGATACGGCACACTCTTGAAAGGAACAGTGCTGCATTCTGTGAGAGTGCGGGATTCTGCAGTTTAAATTGTCTTTGGGATTGTTGCCTTCCATCTCCATGAGAATTTGCGGCGCGAGTGAGAGACTGAAGTCGTGGTTGCGAGTTGTCTCAAAAGAGGTACCTGGGCCATTTGGCAGTATTTCTTCGGCAAGTGATTTCTAGCCAGCGCATTTCAAAGACCAAGTCAGCACCTATTACGTATTATTTACTGACCTACTTTTTCCTTATCCGGACTGTCTGTCTTGTGTGCAGAGCTGTGTACACCTTGGGAATTGTGACCGGTTAAAACAATTAAACTCAGTGGCGCCGTCTTTGGGGTTGCTGCCGGTTTTGGCGTAAAAGGACGAAAACGAGTACCCCAAAAACATTACCTAACAACGAGTCATGACAATATAAATTCGACTTTGTCACTGTGCGACGAATCGCACTAGATTATCCACTTATATAGCCATTCATTTGGGAGCCGCACCGGAACGACCGAGAAGTTGACGGCTTCTCAGTTTTCGGAAAGAGAATACCCACAAGTTCATTTTGACATTTAGTGTTCTAGTGCAAATTGGTTACTTCGCAGCAATCTACAACCCTACGGATGTTTAAAGGATAGTTGTTAACACACGAAACTTCGTGGACATTAGACAGGCACGCGGCGGACTAATAAACCCTAGGACTTCAAATGATTGATCTCAAATGGACGTTTTAGCTGGCTGCGTAAGCGAATATTATTGTGAATATTATTATGAATATTATTGTTCTGCAGTCGGGAAAACTGAATGGGGAGATCGGAAACAGTGTCGAAACAACGGTGGCGAGAAGAGCATTCACATATCGAAGGCAGGGTTCGTGGATACAGACTTTTGACCTCTTGATCCAAGTGTTTGGTGTGCTCAGCAATTTGGTTGGAAACGCCCGACCAGTACTAGGTACACCAAAACCATTGGATGCCGGTGCGACTGTCGACAAAGCAGTAAACTCTCCTGTTTCTGACGTCCATTTGTCGAATGCGGTTCTGTGAGCATTCACTGAGAGCTTTCACTGAGAGCCAATGCCAAGGCAGAACTGAATGCACAAAACGGAGTGAGACATCCTCAGCGTTTAGGATCAGTGTGAGTTTAGAGAGCGTCCGTAGTTGGACGAGGCCCGCTCAATGCATTTGTGTCAAATACCGCGACGCTCTGTGGCATTGAGCCTTCTGATCTCTGATGCCCTATAAAATCACCCGTTTTATAGATAGGAATTTTCACTTCCGTTTTGCACTACTGCCACTTTATGAACTAGGATATGGGGCAAACGCCTGAATCAGTCGTGATTTCGGCGTCGATGCACGTTGGTATTGCACGTAAACATGATGCGAAAACTTCTCGAAAAGTACTGTTCGGTGTTAGGAGTTACTTCGACGGCAGTGTGCGCTCATATATGTAGACGAATGTGCTATCTATTGGGTATCCCGCCTTCGGCCTAGATGTGCCGCGAAGGGTTATCTAATAATTGTTGGTTGTTGATCAGGTGGCTAGTGATCTGTTCGCGAAGTTTGGCTGCCGGCTGGCGAACGTTTCGGAACCATACCAGGAGACATCTTCAGTGAGCAGTTGGGTGGATACTTCTTCCTTGCCTACGTGTGTTTATATAGCACTCGAAGGCTATCCAATATCTTCTGACGTAATTGCCTGCTTGAAATGTAACGAATTTAGCGAATATTTTGGTTCGTTTGTGATCTTTCTTGCGTTGTGGTCTGCGTTTCTTTGTGTGGATTTGTTCTCCCAACGCAAATGTGCGTATATTACTCACCCTGCACCTGGAGCCGCAAGCAACCTCTTAATCTAAGCAACGGCTAACAGTTTCTTCTTGTCCACCAAATTGCGACCAACGCGCCCCACTTCATCCGCCTCAGGATGGGTGGCGAGTTACCTGGATCTATCCTAATCGCAGAAAATGCTCAGCAGTACTCCATGACGCTGTCATAAGTGACCATCAGTCAGAAGATTGACATTTTAATGACCGCAGGCTTTGTGAGTCTTTCGCTGAACGATACAAATCCTGTGAATCAAAATCGTGACGGCCCGCATCCAATTGGTTGTAGCGGTGAGATTCCGGTTTTCCGTTTGTGCACAAGCTTTGCGGCCGACCTGTTACCGACAAGGACTTTTACCTCTGAAAGTCATCCTTTCTGCAATCTCCCTTGGGTAACAAACAAGCTGGCGAACGAGTGTTATGGACAGCAGGTTTAGAATGTAATTCGGGTTTTGTGGATGCAAGAAGTTCTCTATTCAAGCAAGAATGCTGCACACCAGCGGAAATTCCGAGACCAATTTAGTTCGAAAGAGCAGTTGGGCTCCCTGAAATTTCAGCAGCTGCAGAATGTCAGAAGGAAAACCCGTGTTTCTGTATTTTATCTCTCACGAAGATGGCTATCAAAACACATTCAGACTTGTCATACGATGGAAAAACCCCGATTTTATAACCCTCGGGCACTCGTTCGCAAGCTCGCAAAACTCAACAGTTCCGTGATTTGCGCGACGGCTATTTTCTGGCATTTTAATTGGACCAAAAGATTCCTTTAATCAGTCCGTACGTTTTGGTTAAAAACAACCGCATTTGAATGAATGCGTTAAAATTAGAGCTTCAATTACTTTTCATCAAAAGAGCAAACAGAAAGCTGTTTTCTACTAGATCAGCTATTCTGTGCTGCGTCAATCGAAGTCCCAGGCAATTTGAAAAGCAAATAAAAGAGGAACGAGTAGTTAGAACCAAATATAATTTGCTCTATGCAGTCAATCAACAAACGATTACAGGTTTGTTCACCGCAATAAGTGATTGAAGAGCTAATTGGCTCTTTCAGTGTGTCTGAAAACTTTCCAAATCTACGGCGAATGGTTTCGAATTATTCGAAATTCTGCGCTTACTTAATTGCTTATTACGGTTACTTGGTATAAGTCTTGTGGTCGCCAGATTGATGTGCTGGGATTAAGCGCAATTAGAAGTGAAATATTCCCTCATGATTTCGCTTCGGGTGTTGACGGAACGCTTGCGAGCCAGTTATCGAGCATGGTGTTAATTTAATTTACCACCTGATAGCCGATGAACTAAAGCACACAAGTCAAAAACATTCAAACAAATTGTCAAGCATTTATTTTGCAACGCTAATTGTTGACCTTCGTACTGTTGTACTGGTTTTGGGGAAAAAGGGAAATCAATAAAGTACACGATTCTCAAAGTCGGCTTGTTGCACCCTTCTGTTTGCATAATTAGGGCATTGTGAATCTGTGTAACTTAGTATCGTCGAGGGAAATTTAGTGAAGCCGGGCAATTTGGAGGAAGGACAACAACCAAACTTCACCCAAGAAGCTTCTGAAAGCAACCTCTCACTGGTGGAAGTAAACCCCTAACCATTCTTCCCCATTTGGAAAAGCGGTCGTCGTTTTTGAAGAATGCGGATGCATTACATGATGGAAACTATTCACACGGCTGCTGAAAACTATTCGGCAGCCCTTTTTGAGCTGATCAGTTAGACAGAGTCCCCGACTTTCCGCCAAGCTTATCTTGGACTTCAACACCAACTTGACTGTTTCCGAGAAATACACTCTTTTGCAAATCAATTTGTTTTTGCGAAGAAGAAATCCACCCACGCCACATTCATTTATCGACTGGTTACCCAACGTGTGTCGCGTTTTTGTAGCACGGTTGTTGCTTAAATGTTTGGTCTTAAATTGTTGAATTTCTTTTATTACAATCAATCTTTCTGAGAACTGAAGTGGCCAGAACCGTTTCTTATTAAGTAAACTGTAGCTATAAACCGTTGTACGATGTAAGCATTAACAAAATGACTGACTCACCTTTATTTGGTTGTCTCTCCGCCCGACTAATTAGGATAGGTAATATTATGCCGAAAACATCGGCGTTTGTTGTAGAAGAATGTTGAAAACCATTGACAAAATCAACTATCGAATTGGTGTTTGAGTTGTGTAATTCCCTGAGTGAGTTTGCAAGCCCTAATTTTTGACAATGTATTGAACGTTTCCGTTGCCTTAGAACTGAAGTAAACGACAGTTGTTGCGCGCCCTCGCACATGACTTTCAGCAGTTACGTTTAACTGATATGGGGGATGAAACTCACGTTGTGTAATGTTCTTGACCTGTTT